GAGAGAGAGAAGGTGAGAGGGTGGTCTGGGAAGAGAGAAGGTGAGAGGGGAGAGAGAGAAGGTGAGAGGGTTGGTCTGGGAGAGAGAAGGTGAGAGTGTGGTCTGGGGAGAGAGAGAAGGTGAGAGGGTGGTCTGGGGAGAGAGAAGGTGAGGGTGGTCTGGGAGAGAGAAGGTGAGAGGGAGAGAGAGAAGGTGAGAGGGGTGGTCTGGGGAGAGAGAAGGTGAGTGTGGTCTGGGAGAGAGAGAAGGTGAGAGGGAGAGAGAAGGAGAGGTGGTCTGGGAGAGAGAAGGTGAGAGGGGAGAGAGAGAAGGTGAGAGGGTGGTCTGGGAGAGAGAGGAAGGTCAGAGGGTGGTCTGGGGAGAGAGAAGGTGAGAGGGAGAGAGAGAAGGTGAGAGGGTGGGCTTGGGAGAGAGAGAGAAAGGTGAGAGTGTGGTCTGGGGAGAGAGAGAAGGAGAGGGGTGGTCTGGGGAGAGAGAAGGTGAGAGGGTGGTCTGGGAGAGAGAGAAGGGAGAGGGTGGTCTGGGGAGAGAGAGAAGGTGAGAGGGGTGGTCTGGGGAGAGAGAAGGTGAGAGGTGGTCTGGGAGAGAGAAGGTGAGGGGTGGTTTGGGAGAGAGAGAAGGTGAGAGGGTGGTCTGGGAGAGAGAGGTGAGGGGGTTTGGGAGAGATGAGGGAGAGAGAGAAGGTGAGAGGTCTGGGAGAAGGTGAGAGGGTGGTCTGGGAGAGAGAAGGTGAGAGGGAGAGAGAGAAGGTGAGAGGGTGGTCTGGGAGAGAGAAGGTGAGAGGTGGTCTGGGAGAGAGAGAAGGTGAGAGGGTGGTCTGGGAGAGAGAAGGTGAGAGGGTGGTCTGGGGAGAGAGAAGGAGAGGGAGAGAGAGAAGGTGAGAGGGTGGTCTGGGGAGAGAAGGTGGGAGAGTGTGGTCTGGGAGAGAGAAGGTGAGAGGGAGAGAGAAGGAGAGGTTGGTCTGGGAGAGAGAAGGGAGAGGGAGAGAGAGAAGGTGAGAGGGTGGTCTGGGAGAGAGAAGGAGTGTGGTTGGGAGAGAGAGAAGGTGAGAGGGTGGTCTGGGAGAGAGAAGGTGAGAGGGGTGGTCGGGGAGAGAGAAGGTGAGAGGAGAGAGAGAAGGTAGAGGGTGGTCTGGGAGAGAGGAGGAGGAGAGAGAATGAGAGGTGGTCTGGGAGAGAGAAGGTGAGAGGGTGGTCTGGGAGAGAAGAAGGTGAGAGGTGGTCTGGGAGAGAGAAGGTGAGAGGGTGGTCTGGGAGAGAGAGAAGAGAGGGTGGTCTGGGGAGAGAGAGAAGGTGAGAGGTGGTCTGGGAGAGAGAGAAGGGTGAGAGGGTGGTCTGGGAGAGAGAAGGTGAGAGGGTGGTCTGGGAGAGAAGGTGAGAGGGAGAGAGAGAAGGTGAGAGGGTGGTCTGGGAGAGAAGGTGAGAGGGTGGTCTGGGAGAGAGAAGGAGAGGGAGAGAGAGAAGGGAGGGTGGTCTGGGGAGAGAAGGTGAGAGGGAGAGAGAGAAGGTGAGAGGGTGGTCTGGGAGAGAGAAGGTGAGAGGGTGGCTGGGAGAGAGAAGAAGGTGAGAGGTGGTCTGGGAGAGAGAGAAGGTGAGAGGGTGGTCTGGGAGAGAGAAGGTGAGAGGTGGTCGGAGAGAGAGAAGGTGTATGGTCTGGGAGAGAAGGTGAGAGGGTGGTCTGGGAGAGAGAAGGTGAGAGGTGGTCTGGGGAGAGAAGGTGAGAGGGAGAGAGAGAAGGTGAGAGGGTGGTCTGGGAGAGAGAAGGTGAGAGGGTGGTCTGGGAGAGAGAAGGTGAGAGGTGGTCTGGGAGAGAGAAGGTGGTGAGGGTGGTCTGGGAGAGAGAAGGTGAGAGGGTGGTCTGGGAGAGAAGGTGAGAGTGGTCTGGGAGAGAGAGAAGGTGGAGAGGGTGGTCTGGGGAGAGAGAAGGTGAGAGGGTGGTCTGGGAGAGAGAGAAGGTGAGAGGGTGGTCTGGGAGAGAAGGTGAGGGTGGCTGGGGAGAGAGAAGGTGAGAGGGTGGTCTGGGAGAGAGAAGGTGAGGGTGGTCTGGGAGAGAGAAGGTGAGAGGGTGGTCTGGGAGAGAAGGTGAGAGGGGTCTGGGAGAGAGAAGGTGAGGGTGGTCTGGGAGAGAGAAGGTGAGAGGGTGGTCTGGGAGAGAGAGAAGGTGAGAGGGTGGTCTGGGAGAGGGAAGGTGAGAGGGTGGTGGAGAGGCAGGAGTCAGGGGGGTTCTGGGAGGGAGGAAGTGATGGGACGGGAGGGAGGGAGGACAGTAAAGGTAAGTGGAGGGAGTAAAGTAACGACAGGGCACGAGGAGGGAGGAGAAGGTTGGAAGGGTAACTTGCAGTATGGTGAGACAAGGTGACCTCTGAGGACCGGTGTCTCGGCCCAACTGACCAACACGAGGCTTGCTAATCAAGTCTCCACCCCTTCAGGAGGCAAAACAACTCTACTGAAAATCAGATCCTGACAAATAATGAAAACCTAAATATAAAATATATTGATAATCTAAATCTGAAATATATCAAACAAAACAATACAAGGAAAAATGATTATTTACGCGCGCACACACGCACTACACACACGCCACACGCACACACACACACACACACACACACGCACGCACACACACACACACACACACACACACACACACACGCGCGCACACACACACACACACACGCGCACACACACACACACACACTGAGATAAGCACAGGCCATCTATTCCATGCTCAACGCATCACCTCACGAGTCACTGTCTACACCAACACCACAACCACACCATCACCACACACCCATCCCACAACCACACCATCACCACAACCACACACCATCACCACAACCACACTCACCACAACCACACCCATCACCACAACCACACCATCACCACAACCACACCATCACCACAAATACACTATCACCACAACCACACCACCACCACCACACACCATCACCACAAATACACCATCACCACAAATACACAACCACACATCACCACAACACCATCACCACAAATACACCATCACACAACACACCACCACCACCACACCATCACCACAAATACACCATCACACAAATACAACACACCATCACCACCACACCATCACCACAAATACACCATCACCACAAATACACTATCACCACAACACACCACCACCACCACAACTACACCATCACCACAAATACACCATCACCACAAATACACCATCACCACAAATACAATCACCACAACCACACTACACCATCACCACAAATACACCATCACCACTAATACAATCACCACAACCACACCACCACCACACTACACCATCACCACAAATACACCATCACCACTAATACAATCACTACAACCACACCACCACAACCACACCACCACCACCACACCATCACCACAAAGACACCATCACCACAAAGACACCATCACCACAAATACACTATCACCACATCACCACCACCACACCATCACCACAACCACACCACAACATCACCGTCAGTCATTACAGCAACAATAAAACAGGTTTCAGCTGAGAAAAAATGTCCCGCCCCCTCCTCAAGAGTTACAGCTGATTGGCTGCTGCAAACCTGTCCGATTTTGTCCTGAGTAATGATGTATTTCTAAAGGAGTTTATTCATAATGATCGTTGGGATGACCGTTTCTGACACGAAAGATATTTACCTTATTATATAAAGATACATACATTCATTATTTCAAACAGGAGCACGTAGGAAGTTTATCAGAGGTATTATACATGAATTAACTGATAAATTCGGGTAGCAAATTCATGCTTTAGGAGGATGCATTTAGTATATACTACTTATTTTTACCCACAATAAGGCATATAAAGACAAATTACATGTCAGTAATAGTACATTATGCAAAGAAAAAAAAAACATTTTAAAAGATCAGAATCACATTGAAATATTACACGACCGGGAAAAATATGAAGTAGTTCACAGTCATATTTCCCGCCTCTGCTGACGGCCGTGTAATATTTCAATGTGATTCTGGGGGTGCTGGTGGTAGAGTGGTACCGCTCTTGCTTCGCAAGTGAGATGTCACGGGTTCGATTCCCAGGCCGGTGGAAGTTGTTTGGACATACTTCCTAGCCCCCATTAGTCCCTGTTCACCAAGCAGTAAAGAAGGTACCTGTTGTAAGTCGAAAGTTGCGAATTCATATTCAGGGACAAGTTGTTGGAGCTTCCAATAACTTGATGACATAAACCACTGACTCTTCAGGCTTCTATGCCCTTGACTCTTCAGGCTTCTACGCCCTTGACTCTTCAGGCTTCTATGCCCTTAACTCATGAGACATAAAGGCAAGCATGAACTTAGCATGCTTCCCTGTTGGGCACTGTTAACGCTTCTGCGCTTCACCTTGCACAAGGCTGTAGGGGAGTGCCCAATAAAAAAAAATGTGATTCTGATCTTTGAAAATGTTGTTTTTGCATAATGTACTATTACAGATATGTAATTTGCCTTAGTATGCTTTGTAGTGGGTAAAAACAAGTATTCTCGTCAGAAACGGTCATTATGAATAAACTCCTTTAGAAATACATCATTACTCAAAATCGGACAGGTTTGCAACAGCCAATCAGCTGAAACTGTTGAGGAGGGGGCGGGCATATTTTCTCAGCTGGGAAAAAACGCGCTATAGTCACCAAAGTGCAATATCCAGCACATACCATATCCTCTGGTCATTCCTACTTGACATTACATTGACGATAAAACTTGCACCAAACTCCAAACACACAAGACAACCCAACCCCCCACTCTATCACTGCTGCTGAATACACAAGGTGGAATTTTATCCTAACGTTAGCAGTCTGTGATGATGTACAGTATAGGTTCCAGTTTGAGTGTGTATGATGCACACACAGACCCAAAAGAAGACATGAAACAAATCCTAAGTGTGTGTGTGTGTGTGTGTGTGTGTGTGTGTGTGTGTGTGTGTTTAGTGGTAGTATATACAATGTGTGAACTTAAGGATGAGAATAAGTTATTTACCTGTGGAGTGCGGGGGAGGCTGGGGGCCTTGTACCAGTCAGCCAGGGAGATCATGGCAACGGTGGTGGTGATGACGGAGAAGATCACCTCCCACGGGCGACCTGCACACATCCTTCCGTGGGCCCAGAATGTCCGCCATGTCACGCCGGACCCTGCAACACACACAAAGAGACTTATCAAACACATTACAAAATACTCAAGTAAGCCTTTCACACCACCGTGACTACGCACACCATTCTAAATTCTACACCATCTTACCACAACACAATACACCTTGCCACAACACAATACACCTTGCCACAACACAATACACCTTACCACAACACAATACACCTTGCCACAACACAATACACCTTGCCACAACACAATACACCTTACCACAACATAATACACCTTGCCACAACACAATACACCTTACCACAACACAATACACCTTGCCACAACACAATACACCTTGCCACAACACAATACACCACCTAAACGATGTCACGTCATAAGAACAAAAACATGAACACACAAGAGTCATTAAGAAGACGATAAATTCTTACAAAACATGCCGTCGCCACACAGTAAGCGTGATTAACAAGATACCAGTGCTCGCGAAACACCCCCTTGGGATACCCTGCCACACAACGTCTCATAACATCACACAACACACACAACGTCTCATAACATCACAAACACACACAACGTCTCATAACATCACATAACACACACAACGTCTCATAACATCACATAACACACACAACGTCTCATCTCATAACATCACACAACACACACAACGTCTCATAACATCACATAACACACACAACGTCTCATAACATCACATAACACACACAACGTCTCATAACATCCACACAACGTCTCATAACATCACACATGACTTATAACATCACACAAAACATGACTCATAACATCACATAATATACATAAAACACAATGCCTCTTTAGCATTACACAAACCTTATCTAGACAATACTACATAAACTCCTCCACACACAGACCTCACACGACGCCCCACCACCACACCTTTTCACAATACTTTACCACAGTAACACTCAAGCCTGCAGACATACATACACCCCAATGCAGCCTAACACTAACAAACACTTGTACCACAGCACAACACCACAGATCTTTAATCATACACACGTGTCCTAAACAACACACCAATATACATCGTGCCGCAGCGTTTCCCAACACAACCAGGTGAAACTTTCCTGGTGTTCCTGTACCCAAAGGCCGTCCCAAAAATCCTGACCCATCCGGAGTGGTCGACTCTGACCATTCTTCCTCAAGGACAAAGTTGGAACGCAGAGAACTAAATGCCGGTGATGTTGGTCCACACACACACAGCGATGCCCCATTAGTGAGGATGAGAGAACGTTTTATCCTTTTCGGTAGAGTTTTAGTACAAATTCGACGCCCATTTGGCTACTATATTATTGTTGTGCTTTCAGTGAGCCATCTTAATGTATCCTTACGTCTTCAATTTGGGGGAATTTCTTACTATGAATGTGTGAAAACCCAGACAGACCTGTGGAAGAACAAAAAATAGGACCCTGGGTGAGGAGAAGTGTGTTCAGGATGATGATGGTGGCTGGTGTAAAACACGGTTATTGGTGGCCTCGGGGCTACTGGAGTGTAAGTTAACCGTAGAATTTCTTGGGCGAGTTAAAATTTGGCGGAGTGGTGACTGAGCTGACTGTACCCGTGATTGGATGGTGTAAGAATGCACCTATCATTCAAACTGGACCACTTTAGGCGACAACACAAAAACAGCCGCCACAGTAACAGCGAAATTTCAAATAATACCACTTTTAACGGAAAATATAATTTTTGTCATAATTAATCACATGACTGCCCCGTACATGCCAACACTTAACTAACAAGTGGCGAAGAGAATAAAGTAAAGTAAATAAAGTAACTGAACCGCAGTGGGATATAATGCTCAAACAACACAACACATACAGGAACCACAATCAAGTAACTAATAACAGAGCCAGAAAGAGTAAAAGTGATTCCAGGAGGTACAAAAACCCGCACCTAGAGACAGGTGAACGGCTCTCGTTACCAATCCTGGCCGTTCATTATAACGGCGCTAACGGTCATAACGGTTTAACGGTAACGTCGACTCCAGCTTTCCTTACATCTCTACACCGGTACTTCCGCCCCGTCTCCTCTAAACCAGTACTTCCTCCCCGTCTCAACACAGTACTTCCTCCCCGTCTCAACACCGGTACTTCCTCCCCGTCTCAACACCGTACTTCCTCCCCGTCTCCTCAACACCGGTACTTCCTCCCCGTCTCCTCAACACCGGTACTTCCTCCCCGTCTCCTCAACACCGGTACTTCCTCCCCGTTTCCTCTACACCGGTACTTCTTCCCCGTCTCCTCAACGCCGGTACTTCCCCGTCACCAGAAAGTTGTCAGAACTCAAACAATGAAGGTAGTGTACGCGTGCTCCTCCTTGAAATAAGACTTGGTGTTTACGTAGGCGACGATGGCACCGGGGGCATGCCAAGAGCTGTCTGTCCTTGTACTGTACTTGGTGCAGGCAAGCTATATATCCCAACTTGATTCACACACAACACACCTCCACGTTATATATATATATATATATATATATATATATATATATATATATATATATATATATATATATATATATATATATATACAATTCGTCTGGTGTGTGTATATATATATATATATATATATATATATATATATATATATATATATATAGTTATATATATATATATATATATATATATATATACATACACCACAATTCGTCTGTATATATATATATATATATATATATATATATATATATATATATATATATATATATGTCAATATATATATATATATATATATATATATATATATATATATATATATATATATATATATATATATATATATATATATATATATATATATATATATATATATATATGTCTGGTATATATATATATATATATATATATATATATATATATATATATATATATATATATATATATATATATATATATACACAATTCACGTCTGATATAAAATACATGAATATTGTATGTATATTCACCAATACATTCAGTTCCATTTAAACACACTTTCCTCCCCACTTCACAAGAGGATGGCAGCCATTTGCCGCCTCTCACCCAAATACAGTATTGACTCATTGCCACACATAAGAAAATTTTATCTTCCAAAAAAGACACAACTGAAGCACAGGTGACGTGTTTGACATGTAAACATCAAGTCATAAAAGTCGCTTAAATATTACGTAAATAATTTCAAGCAACCCAGTTAATTTCACCTGTTCATTAAAAACCACTACGCTAACCTAACCAAACCGAACTTAGCATTACCTAACCCCTCCAGGATTATATCTTGAAACAAACCCAGCTTCCATTGAGCCTGATTATCTGTGCTCAAGGTTAATGGAAAAAACGAGCACCTAAGAAGACACTAAAACATAATCTTGAGTAAATGTATGTTGCAACAAGATAAGTCACGTACCCAAACATTTCTACTTTATTAGATAGTTTTTACATTTGCCGTGACTTCACCATTGCCACACCAACGAGTGTTTCTCCATTGCTTTAAAATATCTCGAACCAGACTTTAGGAACACTATGAATGAGCTGAGTTTGAATGGACTGGTGATGGTGTATGTCTGCCGTGATCTAAAGTTACCGTCTGAAACCATAGTAACTGATTAGTCCTTTTCATAAGTTGCCGATCCATCTTTAATGTAGCTGATTTTTGTATAGTAAACCTCGTTCTACCCTACAATATTTAATTTAAGAATATTAGTTCCCACTTCTGTGTTCTCTGGTTACAACTTCTGGCAAATACAAGAGAGAGAGAATTAAGCAAATTTTTCACACATCTATCACGCATGTACGATTCCGTGTATTAATTTGAGGCATAATTTGTTTTGTGAATTAGTCTGGTGCATAATTGTGGTGCATACGTTAGTTTTGCGTATCAGTTTAGAGGCCAATCACTTAATTCTTACTTCTCCAATTACGCGGGAAAATTCATAGTTGGAACTTTTCAGAATCCAATCCCACCACTGCAATTATGAAACGAGAAAAAATATTATCCAGTGCCATTGAAAAAAATATATACAGTAATACAGTATACATAGAAAATAAAGTTCCGGGTCAGTTGTGTAATATGAAATTGTAAAACGATTTAGATAGAAAAAACCCTGCATATTGATGGTTTTTGTAAGAGGGAAGAAAAAGAACAAAAAAATACGCCTTATAAAGTTATGTGCATCCTGGTTGGTGATGGCAACAGTGGCGCAAGAATTTACACTCGACTATTCAGCATCAACCAACCAACCGATAACATGCATCAACCACAAATTTAGATTTAGGCGCGAGATAGGTAAATACTATTTTGGAAATAGAGTAGTGGATGAGTGGAACAGGTTACCAAACATCATCATTAACTTGAATACGCTGAATAACTTCAAACATAGGTTGGGTGGATAAAGGGGCGATAGGGGTTGGGTATAAACGGGCCAATAGGCCCGCTGCAGTTTCCTACATTTTTATGTTTTAATTTTATCGACCAACAACCTAATAACCGGACAAAGAATCTATAGAACTATTGTAAACAAAATCTGATATTAAGCTAAACAAACACGAAAATAAAAATAATTATAAAATGCATAAAACATTTCAAATTTCAATATAAAAAAACTAAATCAAATGAAACTATGATAAAAGACAAGAACAAGAAACGTAAGGAAGTATAGAAGGATCCAGGTGATAAACGGAAGGAATAGCAGAGACCGAGAAGAATATGAAAACTGCAAACAAGAAGATTAGACAACAAAAACATGAGCAAGGAATGACCGCTGAAGTTGCTTCGTACCCAGCCACCCTTTGTGGTCACTCACTGAAGGTGTTGTTATCAGGTGTAGACAGCGAACCTGTGAACGATACTGTCAAACAGTTGTAGGTTGTTGGCCACTACGAGGCTGGTGGTGCGCGACGACCACTGTCAACTGTGTGTAGACCAAGAGAAACTCATCTTATCACATGCACGACTCTTGGTCTTGCAGTGACAGATAAAACACATGTTGGGCTATTCGGTGGGCGAGTGACCACACTACTAGCACCAGATGGCTCACCCAGACCTGCACCAGCCATCACCACCTGACAGGAGGAGATCACCACACAGCAGCAGTGACCACAGCACTCCTGAAACCCAATTACACAACAAGAAGCTGAGTGGTGGAGGACCACACCGCCCACAGCAAGAGGTCAAAGGTCAGGGCGTCACTGGACAAAGTTTACCAAGGCATCGTGGGGTGATGCGAATCAAAGGAATAAATACTGCACTTACACCAAGATAAAATTTGGCAGTAGGGTATATCCCAAACACCATCCCAGTTACCACTTAAAAAAAAATCAATCGCCAACATTTCTTTCCAGGCTTCAACCTATTACAGACTCGGTACTTCTCCGTTACACACACACTCTCTCTTGGGTCTCTAACTCATTCATTAAACTCAGGCATTTGGGTGGACAGCTTGCGGTGCGTGTGGCTCGTGTTGTCTAATGTAAATAAAAATAACACTTAACAATAATGGTAAATAATAACAAAAGGTCTGGTTTTTTAAAAGGTTACTCCCCGTGCCGGGTACATCCACGTAAGCCACCAGCGCCATAACCTAAGTGGACCAGTCAAATTCGTCATCACTAAGTCGAAAATCAACCAACGTACGACCCTGCCAGACTCCGACACTAAAAACAACTTATCACAATATCTATGCATAGTGGAATGATGTGTGGGGTTAGGTTAATGGGAGTTAGCTCAAGTAATGGGTTAATTTAAGGATGGAATATTATGACAGGTTGGTTAATTGGACCCAAGTTACGGTACGAGAAGTTGGCTATAGTTGAAGGCAAGTTACGAGAAGTTGGCTATAACTGAAGTCAAGCTAAGGGAAGTTGTGTATAATTGAAGTCAAGTTCCGAGTAGTTGGGGATAATTGATGTCAAGTTACAATATTATTGGAGCAAACATTTTGGAATCGGCTTATGAAGAGGCAAGAGGTACAATATGTATGGCTGAATGGGTTAAGGCGTTGTACTCAAGGGGTTAAAGCGTTGTACCGTGCTCAAAGGAATAAGGAGAAATAAGCCAGGAGGCTAATCTTCAGGTGATAACGGATGAGGTAAGGTCTGTCGTCGATGGGTCAGAGGTCAAACTGTAGCAAATCAACTCCAAGAAGACATAATCAGCTAAGCAATCCCTCAACTACTTCTGCTTGTTTTTATTAATGTCTTTATTTACTCAGGATTACACAATTTCTTCCCATTACCCAAATTTATCTTTATTGTCTATTATCATTATCTTTATCGTTAATGACAATATCAACACTGGTATCATCATTATTGCAATTGTTGTTATTACTACAACTGTTACCGCTATTACTGTACATTTTAACACCTGGCAGAAATGTTCGGGACGCCCGAAAACGTCACACCTGCCCACACACACAGCCTTAAGTGTGTGGCGAAACAGCTGTGTCTCGTCTGGTGGTACAACCAGACATACACACAGACCTGGTTTACACAAAAAACATACCTGTCACACAAACACACACCTAACACAACCACACAAGCACCAGACACGTACACCACAGGAACACTTATTTGGGCCCCGGCAACTCCCCGACCTTCTCGCCCTCAAATCAATTGCGTAATATGATTCTGGGAAAAGGTTTCAAGAGGCTCGTAAAATGGACATACCTCGTAACACGAAGACGCAGGAAAGATGATGCATGAAGGTCAGGCACCCCAGCTTAATTTACCTTAAGATTAATCACCAGGTGCCACTTTATTATGAGGTCTACTGAGTTGGAGTTGTGTCTACGGATATTTACACTGTAGCATCCATTAACCTAACCGGTTAGGTTAATAGACGGTAGTATAAATATCTCGGTAGACCGCATACTATACCTGTAGTAGCACCAACCATCCTCAAATTAACTTACCTACCCCCCTCACCTTGATAATCACCAGGCAAAATAAGATATATATATATATATATATATATATATATATATATATATATATATATATATATATATATATATATATATATGTGTGTGTGTGTGTGTGTGTATATATTACACCGTGACGCTACACCGACAAGGAGGCAAACTTAAGCACAAATATTCTTTCCAGGCGCTACTTGGAGAATGGTTTGGTTATTTTTTTTAAGGGGATTAGCCCACCCGGGCACAGGTCAATGACCCAAATCAGGGCCTGGGGGAGAAGATATATATAATAATAATAATAATAATAATAATAATAATAGTGAGAAACAATATATGTATGTTGTTTCGTCAAAGTAAGAGAAACAATTGAGACCCTGTAATTGTGTGTAAATGAGGCAGAAAGTCAGATCAGCAACCTGGGACTTGGTCACAATTTATGTGATGCCAAATGGTAGCAAGGTCTACCATTAGGAAACACATTATGCTTCCAATATCTTCCCAGCCAGTAGTACCTCCCTGTTTGGTAGCTGCCTACTACCTATGAGCTATAGGGGTGAGGGGACTAGTTTTCAGGTGATCCGTTTAACTAGTAAAACGTAAACATATCTCCTTAAGTGTAGTAAATGTATAATTTTTTAGTTAACGTTCACCCATACATCACCTTCAGTTACGAGGAATATTCATCGTACGACCCTTTGAGAATCATATGACTGGTGAACTATTAACCATTTATGGGGTCTGGTGGGAAAACGTGGAACTGAACGAGAGTTGTGACGTAGAAACTAACACCAGGGAAGGACGGAAGGACACGAAGGCAAAATACACAACGCCGACCGAGTCTCCTCTGGCAGTATAAAAATAGAGGGAGCATATCCTTGGTGGCTGACGGCCGCCTCTCCCTCCTAATGGTGGGGTGGTACCATGCTGATAACTTGCCCGAGACTTGCCAGACTTTCAAGTGCTGTTACTCACCCAAGACATGCATTATCTCCTTCACTCACACACGTATACAAACTGGCAAGCATTCAACAATAACAACGATTGCCCATCGTCTTCTGGTGTAAAAAGATGAATATTGCCAAGGAATAAACCAGAGAAGACAGGACAACTCATCAATTGCACTGGCTTAGCATTACTCCGTAACAAAATTCCCAAATCGATTAATATCCAGGTTCCCAATTACTGCTGGGTAGACAGAAGCAAATGGTGTAAGGAAACTTGCCCATAGTTTCACCCTGACCGGGCAAACAATAGGAAGAAGGCAGCTATACTTTATATATACAGAAACAACCCTTACACTTAAGCCGAAGGCAAAAACTGTTTTTAAACACAGACAATATAAACACTTCAAATTGAAACAAACACGGTTTAAATACTTACAAACCAGACATTAAACAAGATAATGCACACACACACAAAAGATACAACACACTGTACAAATCGTTACACACACACACACACCTTCCGCCGTCATGGTGGTACACACAAGGTACCAGGTGTAGCAGCAGTTATGTGGTGAATCCCTCACTTGAGTGTTCTCACTCCTCAGGAGAAAGTTGTTCACTCGATACTTCCGTTTTCACAAGTCAAGATTTCTCAACACAAGGTGTTCGACTCTTCCCAAAATATTACCATAACATCCATACGCTCGATATGCAATACAAAAATTCGTCCTCCTGTATTTTCAAAGTTTTACAATAACCGGTATATCACACAGGTATACGAATTAGTAAACGCATAGATGATCACCGTCTGAATTTTAACTGGAAACAAATGCTTTAGAAATTGTCACATGGATTTGGATGGAGAGCGCGGTACGTACACCCACTCGCCTCAGCGTCTGGCACCTGACTGAGGCTATTCAGCAGCTTCAGCTGAGGCCTGAGGATGACTGCCGGGCTGGGAGTGAAGGTGGGATGTTTGGCGAGTGACTACTGTATTGTGTTTTGGGACTATGGCGACTTCACCTTTCGGCTATTTCGATCGGGTCTGTTGTCTTGTTTGAGAAGCACGTGACCATGTACAGTATGTTAAGATCCGGAACGTCTTCGCAGGCGTTCCGTTATCAACAACGATTTTTTTTCATCAATGATCCTCACTGTAAAATTCTTATCAGTTCTAATAACGACCTTTAAAAAGCACATAATAAATAACAAATACTTGTTTCATAGCATAGCGTTTACAGAAAAGGTGGTTGGACAGACTAGCTCAGTTACCGACTACTGGTTTCCTTGCCTATATTTTCCTAGAGGGCGTCTTCTTCATCTTCACAGCACACCATCACAAAAGTGCAGTACTACCGGCAACTCACTATGAGCGAGGGAATATACTTCAAATATTACATCACATTCTTCAACATCTAGACACGCTATTCACTGTACACGAGTCGGTCAAGTTCAATACAGCAACACACAGAAGATCTTGTGCAGTGGTACACCCTCAACTGGTTTATCTATCACTCAGAAAAAATCCATCCCAGAACCAGTTAAACCATCAATCGTGGAGCCAAATAATCACCCCTTACAGCCAGTCAAGCCCTCAACCATACAGTCGGTTGCCTACACACTCCATCAAGTGGTCTGTCAACACAACCAGACACACCTACACCCCACCAGTTAGCCACACCTACACCCTACCAGTCAAGTCACACCCAGAACCGTCCCGAAGGGGGGAGACAGCCGAGGCAGCCGCCCTGGGCCTCTCACCTTCCTGGTTATGCAACACATAAACTAGTAAAAGAAGGTTGTGCTGATTGGAAGCATTTTAGTGAGACTAAAAATCTCATGAGTCATCAAATGAACACTTGTTCAACCTTACCCAAATGGATGGAAGTGAAGATGTTGTGTTCAATGAGTACCACAGATACACTAATGTTACAAGACTTGAATAAAGAAAATGAACGTTGGCGATCATTCTAACACGTTTTATAGCAGCTGTGCAGTACCTAGCTGAGCACAACTCTGCTTATAGGACAAGTCATTGAGCATTGGAAATTCTCACTATATTGACGAAGCCGAGTTGTTTTCAGAGCTTCGAGTGCCCCGAGAATTCATTCCCAAAGAAACAAAATATGCACTTCAAGTCTTTCAAGTTTCTAAAATCTTTCAATGGTTCCTTCCCTAATGCAGAAATAAAGTATAGAATTAGGTAGACAGTTCCAGTCACAGTGGCATCAAGGGAGAGAAGTTTTTTTTAACTCAAACTGATATAAAGGCTATCTAAGGACAACTATGTCCCAAGAGAGGTTGAGTGGACTGGCTATGCTCTCAATCGAAATGGAACTGGCAGCAAGAGTTTGCTGAAAAGAAAGCAAGGAAGGTTAATATTGAAAGTAGACTGTTTCTAATACTTTGCAAAATGTTTTATGAGAAGTCAAAGTAGATTGAATTAGTTTTTTAGTTATAAATTATGTTACCATGAAAATTTTCATTACATCCAGACTGACATTTGACATTTGTCTTGTTTATGTTACAAATCAATATAAAATAATGTTTTATTTTCCGTGTATATGCAAGCAATAATATCGCCGGTTCTTAAATTTTATGTTTTTCTTACGTATTTTCGAATTTCATTTAAAGTATTATCAAGTACAGTAGATCCACAATGGAAACGCGGATGGGATAAATCTTCATAAAATCACACAGGAAAAAGGGTCACCGTGTACTTAAGCCAATCTCAGTCCTTGTAATTCAGTTGCCTCTGAAGATGTCTTGAATAAAGACGAAAGCTAAGGTGCTCCATTGTTTCCCTTTTTCATATATATATATATATGGCAAAGGGCCTATACGGGGGCCCATAATGACATGCCCAGGCCACTCCCCCTCCCCCCCAAGGGACGGCTCTGGTCATACATCCCACCAGTCAGCCACACCTACACCCCACCAGCCAATCACACCTACACTCCACCAGTCAGCCACACCTACACCCCACCAACACGCCGGCCCACACCTATACTCCCCTCCACCATCCATAAATTAACCCGGTTATAACAGCCTCCCTCACCTCAACACCGTAATGTGTACTGGAGGCCACCCCAGGACCCTACCTTGAGTGCACTGGCCCTCCAACATCAGCTAGTACACCCCTGTGGCTCACTGCATATATCTTAGCTGAAGGTCATTTGAAGTTTGTGGCCAGGATCGTAATTTGAGTTTCCGGACACCAATGAACATGTTGCACTGGTAACTTACCCTAAAGAAGAAGAAAATTCCCTAATGATTTAAGGTCTACTGTACGAGGTTCCGCAAATGTTAATTTTATTGTTATAGCATATAAACAAAGAACATCACAAAAAATACACATTCTACACAAACACACATGCCCCCAAAGACCATAAAGTATCCTAGTCTAATGACCGCAGTAAAGAAATAAAATCACCAAACACTGGGTAACTGAATGAGGCAGGAGAGGAAAACAACAAACCGTCACTGTTCTTCGCTACACAGGTTTTGCGTAATCCTGCAAACAGTGGGATTACGGAACACGAAAGCTTACGCAATGACGCATCACTCTGCCCTCCACATACCCACAACACAGGCGATTTTAGTAAGACTGTCAAATTTGTTCAGTCTTTTAAATATTGTAGGAAACAATTTATATCACGGATCACTGTTGACCAGCAAATAAAAAAAAAAAGATGAGGCAAGAGTTCAGTAAATCTTCACAAGAGCATCCTTGAGTTGTCAGGTGCCCGACAATCTCAACAACACAACACGAGTTGTCAGGCGCCTGTAGCACTGCAACACCTGTACTGTACTAACCTCATTCTCGGTTCAGCCCTCACAAAATATGTCTTAAAACAAATGAACTGTAATAAATGATGTGCAGAACGTAAACTAACAAAATCTGATACAGGAAGTCAACAAAAACTTAACTTTGAGGTGCTGCTGTCATTTCTCTAACAATACCAATTCTAAAACTTGATGTTACATGACCCATACTACAATATACACCAATAATGTCCCTTCAAAATATTTATGCTGATTCAGGAGTACCGAGTTCAACCTTTCATAGTGTTTCTTGAACTGGGGGCCATGGCCCCCAAGGGGGTCACGGCAAGATTTTAGGGGGGCCATGGCAGGCTAGTGTACGTAGTATATGTTTGGAGAAAATGTGGAAACTCTGATTCAACATTTTTTTTGTTACTTTGTCTTGTTAGGGGAGAATTCTTTCTTTTTTTTTGTCATTGTGTGTAATCATAATACCCATACGGTACAGTTTTGATATTTACATAGTATGGTGCAGCAGCTAGTTTTTCATTTCCAACGGATTTGCTCAGATTACACGATTCTAGTTCCTGTTCAGTCGAATTCCTTGATCTCGGAACGATTCTGCTGCCAGAGACCTCTATGAAGAAAAATCTCTGACTGTATTCTGGTGCTCAATGTATCAGTCATATCCAAAAGTTAGTGAGATCGCACTTCGAGTCCTCTTGCCATTTTCTACTACTTATTTATGTGGATCTGGTTTCCCAACCTTCTTCAAATAGAGAATAAAAGCCGAAACCGGTTACATGTGGACCCAGACATGAGATGTGCTTTATCAGTGACTCAACCTCGAATCAGTCGACTGACTGAAAGGAAACAATGTCATCCATCCAATTGAACTGTAATAAAATATGCATTGTTTGATGATTGAAAACATTAAAATAAAGGAAGAGAACCAAAACAGTTTATTTTCATCATTATTTGTGAGGGGCTTGGGAGAGAACTGAAGGGGGCCACGAGGATGTTGAGGGTTCCTCGTGGGGGGAATGAAGTGAAAAAGTTTGAGAAACACTGGACTTGTGTAATTACTAACCTTACGTGCTTAAGGACCTTAATTATTAAAGGGTAGTAATAAAATTATAACGTCGACGATCCAGAACGTTGTAGGAAAAGTGTAAGTGCTCATGTTGTTCTAAACTCCCAGAAATTTGGACGGAACAGACGAACAGGAAAAATATCCCTCTTTACTTTTTTCTAAAAAAAAAAAAAAAAAAAAGACAACGAAAATTGGGACATGTGATAAAATGTGCAGCATATTTCATAGTTAATTTGTTTTGATAAAAATAATTAGATATCACAACAAGGAAACTATTAAGTGAAATTCACATTACTCTCGCTCAACGCCAACAAATGTTTTCCTGCCGCCAAGATGGACCAAGCCCAGCTTATCTGAGGTTTCGAACAAATGGAAAAAATTAATAAAAATAAAAACTCTTATGAACGCATTCACTTCTTATTGTTGACATATTTCTGTAAACATAAATATATATATATACAGTTTATCTGAAACTTAACAGAAAAGTACTAAAAACCCATGGATGTATAAAACCCTACAAAATTTTAAAACACTACCCTAGCCTCGTATAAGAGCTCAGTTAAAGGGACTAGTTGAGGAGTATGACTAAAGGAACAATACTTCATTAAACCCAACACAACTTTAATTCACAGTACATCGAGTCAAACAAACTCGAGCTGGTGGGATTCTATACAACTAAGCATCCTAAAGATGTTACTCTATCCAGGTGGTAAGGTAATTAAATGCCAGAGGGAGGAGGGGGGTTCTGTTCCCTGAGATTTTGCCGGAGCACCGAACTAGGCTGACTGATGTAGGGCAGGATGTCCGTGAGGCTGTACCTGGGTGGTTGACCATCACGCCCACACACCCACCGTGGTCATGTCCTTCCTACTTGACCCGCCAAGCCTCAGGATCAAGGGATACACAACACCACCTCCACTCACCCACCACTTGACCACCTCCTCCACTACCACCCCACTCCATCACCTCCTCCACTACCACCCCACTCCATCACCTCCTCCACTACCACCCCACTCCATCACCTCCTCCACTACCACCCCACTCCACCAAGA